CAGCCGAACTGCAGAACTGCAGTCAGCTGAAGTAGCCTGCAGTGCTGCATTTAACCACTGCGCCACCTTGGCTCCTTTCATATCTTAAGACTTCCCAAGGTTGAGAGTTTTGAATAAATACATGCATAACTACTAATATTACTTAACAAGGTTTTACGCTAGCAGCCACGGAAGCAACTATGACTTCTGTTAGAAAGCATAAAAGAAAAAACAACAAGGTAATTGTTATGGCCCGCCAGTGGCCAGCAAAGCTGGCAGCAGAGTCAGACAATGAGGAGGTTGGGGAGGAACATGGGCCAGTCCTGGACTTTGGGGAAGGCTCAGAGCAAGCCGTCTGGCAGTTCTCAGCTGCCTTCAGAGCTAGACAGCAGTGAGGCAGAGGAACAGCTGGAGCCTGTGCGCATGCGCAGAGCTGCCAGAAGAAAAGAACAGCTAAGAAATTAGGGTCGACTTGGGGGTCCCACAGGTGGATGGTGAATGGCCACTCCCAGAGGGAATAAAAGAGGAGCGAAAGGAGAGTGGGCTTTTGCAGGAAACAATTTGTTTGTTCGTTCGGGAGTGTGAAGATCTGTCTGTGAATCTCAGAGACTCTGTGCCAAGTCTTCCCCTTCACAGCACTGCGTTTGGAAAATATTCACATGGCAGCTTTCCAAGCTAGATAAGATCTGTGGTCATAAATTCACCTTTGAAAGAGGTTTGCCAGGCCTTATTGGATGTGAATGAGAGGAATTCACATTTGTTTAATTAAAGAGGTTTTGTCGGGACCAGTAATCTGTGTTTTTTGGGGAAGTCTAGGTCAGAACAATAATATTGTAATAATCCTGTTTAAGAAAATATCTTCTTTAAATTCAGAGAAAGGTTTAAGATAAGGGTTGCAAATTTTTCTGGCCGTGGGTTGGAGTTTGCATTGGAGCCCAAATATTCCCTTCCCTCAAAAGCAAGAACTGTATGTGATTATGGTGTGCTCAAAAGCCTATCTTACTACACAGAGCAAAATCACATTTGGGGCTGAATCTTCATTGTCAACTTCTGCCTTAAGATCTCCCACGGTTTATTATATTTATGTATATGATGTATAATCAAACTGATTTATTTTTTTACCGGATACCTGCTTGTTTCCAAATTAAACGCAGACCTCAAAAATATTCTAAATTTTCTTTTGCAGGGTTTGGGAGAAATGTATACCAGCTTCATACCAAACAGGAAATTCTAGCAAAAATGTATTACATATTATCAGCACAAATATGACCCCAGGTAGCTCAGCTTTTTACTGACGATGAATATATCATACTGAATATATACAGTCGTCCTGGGCAAGAAGCTAAACAGAAGTGACACTTATATGAACTGGTTCTCCACACATAACCTCCAACACAATGCCCACTTGAAGAAAGATCTACACAATCACAGTGTGGAGTGTGCACTGTTCATCTGTGCCACTCCATATGTGGACAAGTCAGTTCCTACAAACATACCCCCATGAAGGGATGGTATTTTCTCCTTCTGGAACTCCAATATAATAGCGCTAAGCATCAAGGAACAATATTCTGATAATCTTCTTTAAGAAACTATTTCATAAACTGAAAATTTGGAGCTGGCACATGATAATAATAACAAGTTGCATAGTTTTATGCAGGGATTAGGCAGAGATGATATTAGATGAGTGTTTCACAATCTAAGCAATTTGAATAGGTCTGGATATCTTGTCTCCTTAATTCATCTGTGTCAAGAAAAAACCCTCACATGGCAATAATACATTCAGTAGTTGTCCGATAAAACATAAAATACGCATTAAACATGTGATGTGCAAGAATATAAACTGAACCTAGGTTCCATTTAACCACTTCACACCATTATCCCTACAAGATTTTCACCCTACCTTATCTATCTTTCTCTCTCTCTCTCATCTATATCTATATTCAGCAACTCAGAAAGCTCCAAAACAGCAACGTAGGTAATTCCACAAGACACAGCTAGACTACAGATTTCTTCAATGCTAGTTCTAACGGTTGTTTCCTGCAAATGTCCCCTCCCAACGCCTCACTTATAAACCCTTTTGGGAGGGGCCCAGGCACAACCACCTGTGCATAATTATCATCTATGAGACTGCCTAGGAGTTGCTGCTTCTGTTTCTCAGCCCTTCGTAATCTAGCATCAGGGACAAACTGCCTTTGATCCTCCCCACTGCTCCATGCCTCAGGCACCTCCTGGTGGCCAATCAGCCTCTCTGNGCATATCGCCCCCAACAACAATCTGGGTCCTCATTTTACCCACCTCGGAAGGATGGAAGGCTGAGTCAACCTTGAGCCGGTGAGATTTGAACCGCAGAGGCAGATCTCTCTGGGCACAACGAGACTATATCTGCTGAACAAAACTCCGCATTGGCGAGAGGAAGGGCATCCGGCCATTAAAAACATTCTGCTAGCTCCATTCAGTTGCCCAGACTCTACCCTGCAAGGGATTATGGGGTCGTTAAAAAGATGGTGATGACGATGGAACTGGCGGGAAAGTTGCAACTCCCATTCACATCACCCTAGGATGCTGGCACTGCCATGTATACATGACAGCTGTCAAAGCACCTGAATTTTGATCACATGACCCTAGGGGTGCTGCGAAGGTTATAAGTGTGAGGACAGACTGCAAGTCCCTTTTTTTCGATGCTGTAGCTTTGAATGGTTGGAAATGTTGGGCACGATTGTGATGATACGTTGAGGGCTGCCTGTATCCCCACCTTAATCGGTGCCCTTAATTAGGGCGAACGTGCCCACCGCTGATAAAATACGAATTTCTTGTCCGAGGAATCTTAAATGTTCCAATCCCTGATCTACAAAAAAGAAGACACCCTGAAGTCTAGCAGAAGTTTGACTGTGGGCCCTGCCACCTTTTCTCTCTCTTTTTGGGAAATATTCCTCACCGAGCCCAAATCGGAGGCTTCAATAAATCTGGGCTCCAATTCCCTTGTGATCCCACTCGCCACTTGCCTGGCAAATGAACTCCGAGTGCCAACGTGAACAAAACACCGTGGGTTTAAAAATATACCATATTTTTTCGGACTATAAGACGCACCGGTATATAAGACGCACCAAGGTTTTGAAGAGGCAAGAAAGAAAAAAGTTTTTGTCCTCCCCGGCCCCCCAGGAACACTCTGCAGGCTTCAGCAGGGTTGGGGTAAGGCAAAAATGTCCCCATTTTTCACCAAAATGGGGGCATTTTTGCCTTCCCTCGGCCCTGCTGAATAGCAATAGCAAAACGCCCGTTTTGCAAAAAAAAGGCCCATTTTTTGCCCATTTTTCACAAAAATGGGATTCGGGAGCGAGGCTTTGGGGGGACAAAAATGGCTGTATAAGATGCACCAAATTTCCACACTCTTTTAGGGAGGGGAAAGGGTGCGTCTTATAGTCCGAAAAATATGCTATATAAAAAGTTATGTATATTTAAGACGCCGGTAAAGGCAGCCGATTTGAAAGCAAGGTGACGTTTATAGAAAAATGGAGACGGTACCGTTAATACAAAAAAAAATGGCGGCGGCTTCGCCCGGGGTGTGTTTGTGGGAGGAGAAGAGGGGAAAGGGGGGAAAAACACAGCTAGCAGCCAGATGTACAAACTCAAGCACAGTTACGAAGCACCCATGCATGAGAAGAGAGGACATTACCGGCTCTGCTTGCTGTTTTTGGGCCCAAAACTTTACACACCCGGGCAGCACAAGAAAGGCAGCAGAGGAAGTAGAAGAACCAACTTTTAGCAAAAGATCTAAACGCACTCAGTTTATCTTAGGCAAGAAAGCAAGATGTTTTATGTGTGTGTGTGTGTGTGTGTGTGTGTGTGTGTGTGTGTGTGTGTGTGTGTTTG